CATTCCACCATTCTTGCTTGATAGCTTCTGTGCATAAATTCAACAGAATCATATATTTCACGCTCCAGTGTCATTTTAGGAGGAAGCCTAGGACAACTTTAGGAGTAAATTAAACTTAGAACCCAAATTGCAGTTGCCATTTTAAAGTTGAGGGAGGTTTTTTAGATTTTTTTATCTGCAAATAGCCCCTAAAGAGACAGGATACAGCACTGGAAGGCTCGTTGGTCTAACCCTGCTCTTATGTTTCTCGTACGCTCTGCAAGAGCAGGATGTGGGAGTAAGGGAATGCAAATGTCAGGAAGGGAATGCACTGCCAGATATGAAGATGCCACAGGCCCAGGCCACTGTGAACTGCTGCAAGGTAGCAGGAAAGGTCTGTCCCCCACATCTGCTGAACAGGCTGCAAAGTTCTGCCTGGCCAAGCTATGGCAGAAAGTAACACAAAGGAGACACTCTGTCATCTCTGCAAGAAGATGATGACTCAGAAAATGAAAGGTTTAGCATGGTATGCAACTGAACTAAACAGATTTCTTTAGTTGCACCTACATTTTATTGGGTTGGTTTTTTTAATTATTGCTGCAGCACTGCCTAGAAACATGAGTCTCACAGTACTCCAAGCTGGAAATACTCATAAGAAGATTGTCTCAGATATCTTATACAATAAGAAAAAGACAGAAGATGAAGAGAGCAGGAGGAAAAAGCCTTTAGTACATAGAGGACCGCGCTGGTGTTGGATTACTGCTGGTGGATAGATGCAGGACCGGCATAACCAGACTCAGCAACAACTGCAGCAGAGGAGGTGCACAGTTCCATTATGATCTGGGACACAGAGAAGGACGCAAGAGGCTGCGGCTCCCTTTGCACTCCCACCACAAGTAAGAGCTTAACGCTTTGTGCCACGCGTAGTCGTTCACATCCGTGCAAAGCGAGGATAAATTGCATTTCTGTGCTGATGAAAGTGTTCACACAGAAATATCAGACCCTTGATATTTTATGAAACATAAATATTTCCAGTGGTGGGTTTTAACAGCCTCCGCTGTAAGAGAAAGAACTAGAAGGCCCTGGGATGTGGAGACTCAACCAGTAATTTACTCAGAAGAAAGTAGTTTCAACTGCAAAAGTGTAACAGTCGGTCTAACAGCAGGCATCTGATACAAGGCAACCCCTGACACAGGCTGAGCTACTGTTTCTGAATCACTGCCACAAAAAAGGGGCCCACCAGCTCCTGATTGCTGTGCAGTTCTGCAGGTCTTGCTGCTGGTCTGCAACCTACACGTTCTCTAGCTTCAGAGAACATCTTAAATGTTTCATAACCTTAAATTCCCAAGCAGCCTAGGAGAGCTTGCCTGTGCTTATTTTATTTATGTTGTTGATGGGCTTTTCACAGTGAAAACCAGCTTCATTGCCATGCTTAAGAAAGCCAGGGTGTAAGGTTCTGATCAGGAAATAGCCTGAGAGGCTGGCAACCTGGGGTGGCCTCTTGCACATTGACAAGAGAGGAAGAAGCCACTGGTCTGGGAAAGGAACCCCACTCTGTGCACTGTGCACAGGCAGGTTTTACCGCCAAGCTCGAGAAGAGGTGCCTCCACATGGTTCTGGAGTGAGGCTTCCTCTGCACATCCCCAGATACAGCGATTGTGACTAAAGATTTATTAACCTTGTGGAGGCAGGGGAGTACAGGTAGGAGGGAAGGTGATGAAAACTATATACTCTAGGCCAAATATAGACTACCTGCGCAGAAACCCTGGAGGGTCCTTGGGACCAGTACAAATGATAAAAGTCAAAATAACTCTACTGATGTGAAAGAAAACCCCCCGATTTGTAGTAGCTGCGGATTTGGGCAACACTTGCTTAACAAAAAAACCCCAACCAAACAAAACCAGAACAAAAATAACGGTGTAACATGTACCTATATGCTGGCTGCAGTCTGGCTGCCCATAGATTTTCCTCTTCCATAAGCATACAGGGATGGTTTGCACAGGAAACAAGCCCTAGCTGCCAAGCAGATACACTTGTTAAATGTGGTCACTCATGGTGGAGTTGTCTAACTCGGTAGCTCGTTTCACTCCCTGGCCCTGGGTGAGGCAAAGGCTTTCCAGAATGCTCCTCAGTGCTGCATTAGAGAAGATTTGGTCCTGGACATTTCATTTTTGATGCATTATGATTTTATTTAGAACACACTTTAGCTCTTCAGCCTCCAGGCTGCTGAGGCAAGGTGCCAGTCTTCAGCAAGGAGGGGAAGGACTATAAATAGAGCAGGCTTGGCTGCCACGGGCAGCTTTTGGTCTGTTTAGGTTTCTTGTTCAGCCTGGGAGAAACAGAAATCACATCTGCTGAGGAGACACAGCATAGCACAGGCACTAGCAACAGCTCGTCTCCAGCTAATAACTATCTTTTTTTTTTAAGGTACACAGATATATCCACTTACCTTTCCTGAACAAGGACAGCACTGCCATTTGTCTGTGCTTCCCTCCATCCCTCTTAGCTTTTTGCAAACTGTTGCCATGCAATCTGCATCACGTATTTTCATGAAACCAGGTCCTCATGAGGGAAATGCGTTCATTTTCAAAACAACAAATAAAATGAACCCCAAAATTAAATACCCAGAGGTAGCACACATTTCATCTTTTGGAGGCCCTGCAGCTTTAAGAGGTGTTGTTTATTAGCTCTTGCTCTAATTTGTCTCATCATCATGTAGGCTCCCTTTTGTTCGTGTAAGGAAGGGACATTTTTGCTGCAGGCCAAGGACATTAAAAAAATACCACCAAGAACCCACCAAGTCCTGCATTCAGAGTTCTTTATTCTCTCTCACAGGTACCTGTAACTGAGCTTTTTCCTCCCTTACTCTGTGCTTCACTCAGAATTACTATTAAAGAGAGAAACTATTTCCACAAATTTCTGCTGCTTAGCATACCTTTCAGTGAGTATATTTTACTTACAGCACAAAACTGATGGAGGTAGTCTCTGAACAGCGCATTTTAGACTCAAAGCGCTTGAATTGCTTCTTTGAGCTCCACATCTGCAGCTCTTCAAAGCAAGCTGCAGACTGCAGAGCAGGGGTTCGCCCTATTCCCTCCTGCTAGGATGCACCCTAAGAGGAACAACATTTAAAATAATTTCAGAATATGCTCTCAGCATTATGTTAGGCACACAAACAGTAGGGTTAATTGTGTCAGGAAAAAACCCAAACCACATACTAAATATTACATTTTAAAGCAAACTGTGACGATTTAATGAAGACAGCTAGATCTCATGAATCAAATCTTTGGCCTGCATCCCTTGCAAGAGCTCTTTTGGACCTGTATGTCCATGTAATATGCTACTCAACCTGCCATTTGCTTGCCAAGCCAGAGCAAAACTGGCACCTACACTTGCACCAGAGGTCAGCACACGTTTCTGACAGGTGGACAGACCTCATTAGCCCTTACTCAGGGATCTTAAAATTCTGGGTTCAACCTTAGCAGCTTTAGTGCCAGCCCACAGCCCTGGGAACCTACCTCACAGGCACAGATAGCTCCCATTTGTTCCTATTGGTTACTGTGCTTTCATCCCTGCCTGCCCTTGTTAAACCCAAGATAGAAGAGACTAAATTTGAAGTCAGGTCATTGCCGAGTGTCAGTGACCTACTAAAACCATAGACTTGCACAGACACATTGGATTTATGGTCTATTGTAATTTTCCTGCTGGTTTTCCTCAACTAGTTTAATCAATTAAGATACCCAGGAGTTAATAAGGACAATTTTACCTCACCTGTATTTAGCTGGAATCTTAGACAAAAGTCTGGCGTCTCTCAGTCCAATGTTTGTCAACTCGTGCTCTCCAAAACACTGACAATACACAGGTAAATTTGCATCCCATTTCCCTTTTAAGTTTGTGATTTAGCTGCTCCAACATAATTTTTCTGACACAAGCTGCTATTAGGAAACACAAGGTTTCTAGATTTTGGGAAGCTGATGAGAAACTGCAATTTCTTATTGTAAATAACTGTAGCAGTAATAGCATAGAAGTACAGTAAGGTTCAGTTTGGGTCCGGCAGCACATTCAGACCTTTAGACCTGCCTCACCCTCTAGCATGTGACTTGCTGCCGCAGGAAACTCATCAGTCCCCAGCAAACTGCAGAGACAGAGAGTTTTGGTAAAGATTTCGGTGCTCTTCCCTGGCACCCTGAGGACTTCACGTAGTGCCAGGTCCGCATATTTGCCATCTCTCACTATCTCATCCCAGTCTGAGTGTCACCTTTCTGCTAGAGCTCCTCACCTCTCCTTTCAACCCAGTTTCTCCTTCTACTTTCAGTCGTTTCTGGCTTCCACATCGTTTCCCCCATTTGCG